GCGGGGGACGGGCGAATCGGGGCAAAAAAATGAAGTGGGCCCCCTCCTGCTCACAAAGAATATTTATTATACCTTATTCATCAATGGTTGATACAACGAGATGATAGCTGACCCAACTACGCGTCATGGTGACGTAAAATACAGGCCAATGCAAGACGAATCCAGAATGAAGCCTTCTATCAACAAACCGTTCAGGCAATGGACGCGAAAGCTGCGCAAAAACTCAGCGGGATGGGCGGAGGCGACGACGACGAAGCCGTTTTCCAGAAACTGCGGACTACGAAACTGGCCCCGGAGGATAAACAAGCGATAGCGGTCCAGCGGCAGAGATACGAGAGTCCGCTGAAGATGCCGCATCCCAGCGGGGGTGATGATAGTCACGATGGGCAAGATGGCGAGAAGTCTATCGCGGGGAGGAAAAAGATACCGGCCGGGCAGTCTCAGGTTTCATTGGAGGATATGGAGGATCCGGAGGTGGAGGCGGAGCTTAATGCAATTCTCAAGAGATCACCCAGTATGTTATTTTATTTTATTTCAGCTCCTGCTTTGTTCGTACTCACGGACAGCGTTTTTTCATCTTTCTTTCCTTCTTTCTCCCGTGAAATGCAATTGTTAGTTATCACACCGCTAACACATCACCTCCACCTTTTGACACATTTCTCCAGTCATAATATTCTCCAAATCCTACTGCCCCTACAGCGAAAAAGCCAAATCCATCCTCCTGAACAAACACAGCATCATCCCCCCCCCTTTCGTCGTCGAGCTCGATATACACCCGCTCGGAGAGCAGCTACAAGAGGTCCTTGCGCGCAACTCGGGGCGCAGAACCGTGCCTAACGTTTTGGTCAATGGTATGACCATCGGCGGCGGAGATGATATAGAGGCACTCCATGAGACGGGGAAATTGGCCTCGAAGATAAAGACGCTGGGGGGGAAGAGGGTGATGGATATTAAGTTGACGGAAGACGAGAAATCACTTTGAAGATGGCGATATTTCTTCGCCGCTTCTCACTTCTGATTTTTCGGGCCTATCTTTTTTCCTCCGAGGGCGAAAGAGGCAGATATGATATGATGGTGGGGTTAAATATCAATACTATCACATTCATCCCATTTGATAGACCGGATTCCGCCACTCCCCTACCCCGCGCCTTATCCGGCCTTTTCCATCAAAAACGTAATTTGTTTTTAAAAATCCATTGACATATTATGAACCTAATATGCGGCTAAACGGTGCAAAGGGATAGGAGCTCCGTGACAATGAAGAAATTGCAGATGCATTTGATTTGATTTTGATTTTGGGTTGTTTTTTTTTTGTTGACTCTAATCCGCAGTTCGTTTCTTTCGAGTTTCTGTTTCCATGGGGATTCTTTTCTCTCCCCTTCCTCTCCCACATCCTCAATTTTTTTCTAAATCGGCAAAAGGAGGGGACAATGGGTTTATTCTGGTATGAATTTGGACTTGGTTTTGGTTTGGTTTGGTTTGGTTTGGTTCGGGAGTTTAATCACTATCTAATCTTTTTTGAATACGTCTTGTCATATAATATACACATGCATGTATACATATATAGCTGCCTATGTGTACTCTATTAGAGGAATATATTAATTTGTTTTAAGACTTACTGAGAATAATGGGCAGAGGCCGGAGACCTGAATTTGTGACAATACAAAATGACCTAGGCGAGCGCTAGACCAGCGGCAGAAGGGTGTGCGCTGAACTGCACTTTCATCCCATATGCTCAGAGTTGAAACCTATCTTTATTTCCAAAATCAAGGACCTTTAGTCGCCACAACCCTATCGCCACCCGCGCTAAACCTAAAACGCAAGATAAGCGATGCGCCGCACAATGCTGACATAATCTAACACCGAACTCACCCCAGCGAAATTTCGTGAGAGGGAAACGACATTGTGCGAGAGAGGTTGTATCTCAAAACGACGACGATAACGACGACAAACGACCAAACTCTCTTCCTCTCTCTTTTCCTCCCTTTTCCTTTCCATCTTCCCGCCTCACAACAGAAGTTCCCGTCCAGATTCCCGTCGTCGTTCAAGATGCACTACATTTATTCCCAGGAGACATTGCCGATTCCCGACGATGGTGAGAATTGGACTTCTTTTGATTGATGATTTTTTTTTCTGCCTTGCCCTATCTCTTGCCCCGGATTTGCTCTCGGGTTTTGTATATGTGTGTGTGTGTGTGTGTGTTACCGTGCGCAGAATGGCGAAAGATGGAGGGAGATACGAATCGAGGGAAAGCAAAGGAATTGCTGCTGTGAGACAACAGGATGGATGGGAATGGATGTGATGGATGGATTCCGAAGGAACGAGACACTCAAATTCGACTTGCTGCAATTCACGCGGACGATTATCGAAACGTGGGCAAGGAAGTGATGTTTGGACCGGAAACCGCGCTGGGGATTCGATCTGATATACATACATATATACATACATTACCTACACCCCCATACATGCCCGCTACACACACGTCGTTAATATATTGTTTAAGCTGTAAGAGGAAGAGCTATGAGGATATGATGGTACTGACCAGCTGGCTTTTTTCTTACGATCTATAGGGAATGTGCACATCCGCTCGCGGGGTCTTCACCTTCGAGGACCCCGAAGGTATGTCAATTG